TATAACGAGCCCATTGAGATTGTTGTTGTTGTTGTTGTTGTTGTCGTTTATTTATTAAATAAGGCATTTTCATAGGTAATGATACTTTAAGTTCTTTTTTTTCTTGTTCTAAATTTCTATTTTTCTTTTTTCCAACACCAACTGTAAATCTTCGTATATCAATACTTAAAACTGCTAACCAAAAATTAATTTGCATGAAAAAATCAATTAAAATTCCAATTAATGCTAATTGACAAAATTCTCGAACTGTTGGAACATATGTTATAAAACCAATCATAACAATAATTAATTCATAAACTAAATGTTTTGATATTGTCCATGATTCAGCACGAAGTGCATGTGCAACACGTTCACGTATATCATCATATTGTTTTTGTGCTTGTGATGACGTAACAGCACGTGTTAATACAACTAAATTTTCTAAACCAATAAATATAACTAAATATGGAAATACTTCACCACCATCAAGACGTGGTGTCATATGAAATAATGATGATAATGCTAATGATATTAATAAAGAAACAACAATTTGTACTGTTGCTGCTAATGCAAGACCCCATTTTGATTTTACACATTCGAATTGACCTTAAATTAAAAATATGATTTTATTGTTTCTTTTTTTTTTCTAAAGTCGAATATACAGAAAACATGATGTTGACGATTGGGTTGAGTTTTCTCTCTTAAATTTCTACTTGTGTATAGCCTTTCTTCCAGAGGATTTTTTGTCAATTGCTGTTTAGCAGATTTCTTGATTTTTGATAACAAAAATGTTCAAAATAGACAATTTTTTCAAAAGATTTTATGAAAAATTAGCTGTTTTTTTTGATAAAGAGGTCGCTTTTACTACAATGTTCAAAGAGAATGAGTCACTTCCTCTGTTAGAAAAGAAATAATAAAAGCAAAATTTTTCTTTAGAAATTCTATGACATAAATCTGAATTTTTTGTCGTCACGAATAGTGTTATTAATTAATATAGACATTTGTAGTAATGTTTAAAAAAAATTTCTTTTTTTCAAGTTTAGAAAATTTTATATTAGAAAAAGAAAAATACCATGAAAAAGAACGTAACAATAAGAAAGTAAATCGAGACATCCTTGAAAAAACGTAGGCGAAGGTCGAAACATTTTACAAGTCGAATATCTATTTTTGGATTACAATGATGAATCACTCAACCATTAGAGTCTGTCGAATATAGATAAGATTCTAAAGAATTTTCTTTTTATTCAATAAATAGAAATAGAAAAATTTATTGTGTATATAAAATATTTTCTTAAATTCGTACTCAATGATTGTCTTTATTCAGTTTTCTGTATATCTAATATTCATATTTAAATAATTAAGAAAATTTTAATTAAATACTTACTAACTGAATAATAAATATAAAGAAAAACAACAATATAAATAAGTATCAATGGTAAATAATAAAGAAGAGATTTTCTTGAAAAATAAATATGTATTATATCATCTTGTTGTTGTTGTTGTTTTGATTCATCTAAAGCAAATAAACGTTTTTTTAAATCTTGTCGATATTCATTTGATGCATTATTTAACATAAGTGTTATTGCATATGTTAATGGTTTATTTGATGAAAAATATTTTTGTGGAATACCAAATATAATATCAACATAACGTTTTGATAATGATGATATTGATTCAAGAATTTCATGTTCATTATTTTTTATATTTGATATATCATTTGACCAAAGATTTAATGGTGAAAGAATAAGACAACCAAATGATGGTAAATATGGTATCATTTGTTGTACATTTATTGGTTCACCAACTCGTAAACAATTTATATCAAATTGTGGATCAGAAAAAAGACGATCACGAATATCACGTGCACGTAAAAAACATGATGAACGAGATGTTAATACTGAACATCGTACAACAATATGTTGAACATAGGCAAGTGGATAACCAGAATACTTCAAAATATTTACATTAAAAAAGAAAAATCTATGTATCGAATTTTTGTAATTGAACTTACCCATAATGGTTTATCTGGTTGTTTGTCATGTAATTGATCACTTGTATTTAATTCTAATCGAGCACGAACAGGTCGAAATGATCTAGATGATTCAGCAAAAATTTCTAATGTACTACCAGGTGGTGGAACATTAGTAGTTATTTGAAATCTATAGAAAATAAATCATTTATGAATATTATAATAAAATAATTTATTTCTTACAAACTAAGAAGAAATATACCAAAACAAATTAGTATAATATAAAGTGAATGATCAGCAACAAAAAATCCATATGCATACGATAAATCAAGTACACGATTCTAAATAAAGAAATAAAAATCTTATGATAAAAAAAGTCATAATTTACTTTAAGATGAATATGAAGTTTTAGCAATACACGATACATTTATATCTAACATAATCAAGAGGAAAAGAAAAATCAAGTTCGATTGCAATATAATACACTGTTACACTTAATTAGTATATTATATGCATTAATCTGTATATAATATAATATATCGAAATTGAAATTCAATTGGAATTGTAAATCAAGTTAATACTATGATATAATTAATACGTAGAAAATAGATGAAACCAGTAGTTTAGTATTAAAAACAAAAACAACAGAATGAGAACAATGAATCAAAAAATTGATTGACAAATATTTCTATTGGTTAAGATTTCTTACCAATGTTAGAATATTTCATCTAACCCTCAAATAAAACAAAACAAAACAAAACAAAACAAAATTTTTATTTTCTATACGTGGCAGAAGAATAACTATGGGTCACCAATAATTAACTTCCGTATTTTTAATGGCAGATCTATTACTAAGCAGAAGTAATATGTACAAAACATCTGTTACTACTAATATACATACTATATCATACTTCTGTTGAATAGAAATAACACTTTGTTTTCAATATGCTAAATAAATTTATACGTAGACAAATAGTAAATATAATTTATTCGATTGTGTTAGAATATTTTACTTATTTCTTCTATCCTTGAGTTTTTCTTTGACTGCATAAGGAAAAAAACAGAGGATACACTCTACTTATGACAAAAAAAAATGTGTACATGTATATTTTACTAATATAAATCGAGTGTATGAAAAACACATTGTTTAGGACTTCCATTTAGAAACATTGATAAACTTATCATCAACTAAGTATTTATTTTAAGATTCTATATTTCATTTGTTGATATTATTATGACAAGTGGCGGTGCTCCTACTGCTGGTGGTACTGGAGGTCCATCGCTTTTCGGTGGAAAGAGTAAAATAATGGCTGTTATTGGTGATGAAGTTAGTTGAATTGTTTTCTTTACTTTTTATTTTGTAATTTTATTTGTTTGTTTTTTCAAAAAAAGGATACAGTGACTGGTTTTTTACTTGGTGGTATTGGTGAAATACATGCTAAAACACGTAAACCAAATTTTTTAATTGTTGATAAAAGTTCGTTTTAAAAGATATTTTTTTAAAAAAAATTGATTTATTTTTATTTTTTAATTAATATGTATAGATACAAAAATATCGGATATTGATGAAACATTTAAAAGTTTTCTTAGTCGTGACGATATTGGTATTATTCTTATTAGTCAATATGTAAGATAAATTATTTATATTTTATTGAAAAATTTCAATGTTTTTTTTTTTTTTTTATTTTTGTTCTTTTGAAAGATTGCTGAAATGATTCGTGGAACAGTTGATGGTCATGATAAAAATCTACCTGCAATATTAGAAATTCCAAGTAAAGAACATCCATACGATGCTAGTAAAGATTCTATTTTACGACGAGCACGTGTAAGTTTTTCAATGAAGAAAAAAAATATTTAAATCAATTTTCCGGTTTTCTTTTTTTAGGGTATGTTCAGTGTGGACGATTTCAAATAAAAGAAAAAAAAAACAATATTCTACAATTCATTTGCATTTATGTTGTCGTCTATTCCATTTTATTTATTGTGTTTTTATTTATATCAATAGATTGAACATTATATATAAATATCTATTAATGTCAGGAGATTAATATATTTTATGATTTTTCATTTTAATTAATGAGAATTTTCTTTTTTGATGAAAATTAAAATCAGACAAGAAAAATGTTCTTTTTGTTTAATTATTTGATAGGAGATTTCTGTATAAAAGAAATGTGTTCTAGTTCATCTAAAAAAAAACATGAACAAGAAAACAGAACAATGCTGAATCTTCTATGGATCGATTATGATCAATCTATTTTTTTTTATAGATTTTTCTATAATAATGTCGTTAGATACATTATCAATACCACCAGTTAATTGGTCTTTATTTCTATTTAGTAGTTTAATAATATGTCTTCGAGCATCTGCATCATTGATATGTTCATGGATTTTAAATAAATTTTATTCTCCATCTACAATAATTGATGCACTTAATGATGACTTAAAACGTATAACACAAGAATTAAAAACACTTTCTCAACAAGATGAATTTGCTGCTTATACTCGTAAAGAGCGACAACGTACTGCACTTATTGAACGTCTTAAAAATGAACGAAATAATATTGAAACACAACAAAAAAGTATATTAAATTACATTCGAATGATACTCAATATTGGAACTATTTTAATTATGATTATCTTAACACTAAAAAGTCGACAACATGATTCAATACCATTATTTAATTTTGCATTCTATCGTTTTCCATTAATTATTTGGATTATGGCATTAAATACATTTGTTTCTACAGTTACGGATATTTATCTTAGATATCAAACAAATAAAAAAAGTACAACGAAATAAATACAAGGAAAAAAAGAACAAAAGATATTAAATGAATATTTGTTTTTATAATGTAAAATAAATGAAAAAACAAAACAAAACACATAATTCAATAAGATTGCTTTCAATGAAAGTATTTATTTATTCAAAAAAAAAATAAATAAATCTCGAAAAGTACGTTTACAATAAGTTTCAATATTTTCATAAATAAAACGCATTGATTCTTGTTATGTTTTTCATTTAACTATAGTTGTCAAGAATCTTCTTTCAGAATCAATAGTCATTATTTGTAGAAGAAATAAAATCATTAATAAACTGAGAAGGAAAAGTTGAACCATTTCTATAGAAAAAAAATATGTTTACATAAATGATGTTAGTCAATCTATTACTTGCGTATAGTCAAGCACGAAAAAAAAACAAACAAAATATCTCCACATATTTTATTTACCTTTTCATAAAAGCTATTTGTTCAAGATTTTCATTAGATTTTGCTAAAGCTGTTTGAAATGCCCAATAAAAAAATTGTTCAAGTTGTTGTATTGATGTATTCTAAATATTTAAAAAGATAAAAAATATTCAAAAAACAAAATTTAGATGAAATTTACATCGGGTATTGTTATTGATGGTGATGATAAAACAAAATTTGGTTTAGGTGCTGGAACAAAACTAACATGTCCATCAACTGTTAATTCATGTAAACCACCAAAATGTACTAATTGATGTTGTTTACGCCATTTAGCACGACGATTTTGAAACCAAATCTTATGGAAAAATTGAATAAAGATATGAAAAAATAAAGAAGAAACAGAAAAATCAAACTTGAATTTTTTTATCAGGAAGTTTAGTTATAAGAATAAGATGTTGACGAAGAGATAAATCTGGATAATGTGTTATTTGATCAAAAACATGTTCTAATTGACGAATTTGTTCAAGATCAAATACACTTCGTTTTCTCTGTCTTTTATTATTATTATTATTAATTTCAATATGCTTAGTATTCTCGTTGTTCGTCATGATTATTGCTTTGATAATAATCGATTCATCTTCTTACCGTTCTCTTCATATAATTAAGTCATAAAGATAAGATATATATGGGTAAACTTACAGTAAAAGAATTCAATTGTGCTGCATTGAGATCGTAAATCATCACACCATGTTATAAAATCATTCGTATAGATTAGTAAAATAACGTCAATAGATTAAATCTCAATGTTAAGTTTATGATTTTTAGAAAAAAGAAGTAGTGAGATAGGGATATAGTTATTTGAATAAGTGTTTTTTTTTAATAGGTACGTCTGAAAGGTTATTTACTTTTATCAATAGTTTTACATATCAATTATAAGATCGATTTCGAAATCTTTTTGTTTTTTTTTTCCAATATTGATTCTTGTTGTTACAATGTCTTCTAATTTCAAAAGTTTCAAATTTCATTCGCTTTTTACATATTTTGACAAAGTTTGTATTACGAAAAAAAAAAAAAAAAGAGAATTTTATCAAACTTTTTTTAATAAAATTTTCCTATCAAGATGAATGTTATTAATAGTTGTAACATATGTTTTTGATTGTCTAAAATATAAAATCACATCAATCATACAATAATAAGATAAGAGTATCGATTCAAAATTTTTCAATAGTAACTCATCTAAGAATTTATGACAATGAAAACAGAATAAGAATCAAATCCTGACGATCTTTCCAGTCGAAATAATTATTTTCAAAAATAAAAAACTACTGTATTTGATAGAAAACATTGTTGATTATATTTTCATCAACATTGTAAAGCCTTGTAAACAGAACATTACATTGTTCTTTTTTCTTCTTTTCATTAAAAAAAAGTCGTTTTTTTTTAAAAGGATTTAATACGTTGTTTACATTTTATTATCTTAATTATTTATTGCTAAAAAATCAAGTAAATAAATGTTAGACATTTCGTGAAGAATACTTATTCTAAAAATTGTTTCTTTTTTAATCAGAATAGGCTCGTTAAAGTGGCTTCAGGATCTCATAGAAATAAATAGAAAAAACAGAAACGTTATTTTCCCTGAAAGAAATGCTTGAGTATTTCCATCTTAGTTTAAATATAGATAACCTAGTCTTTTTACTGTCAAATAAAGGCATGCTCATAGTTTATATTCATAAATAAAACAATGAAAAATATTCTCGTAAAATATTCCTCTTGACCCACATGTAAACTAGTCATCTGAATGGAATTTGAAAAATCTATATGTTTATCCCTCTAATCCTGAATCAAAAGAACGCAATATCTTTAATTAATAGCCCAGAAAATGTTCATTTGATCCTAAGTTTCTCTGATAAGTATATACCTTATTAATTAATGTAATCTGAAAGTTTTATTGACATTTAAGTTCAATTATCCAGTGAGTCTTTTTTCAGAAAATATTGTTTGCTTTTATAACGAGTTAAACATCACAACTTTATACTTATGTCAAAAGTAATAATATCAAAAGAATATTTTTTATCGTTTCATTTATGATTATAAATAACTATAAGTATTTCTTAATTAGCAATCAAAACAAATTAATTTATTGAGTCAAAGTATAGCAGATATATACAAACTTCTCTCCTCAAGAAACTAACTGTTAAGTCATTCTGTATTTATGTTATTAATCATAATATTGATTGATATGATAATACATTATTTTTTATCAAACTTATATTTAAAAAAAAAATTTTCTTATGTCTAAAATTATTTTCGGATCGGTTTCTTATGATTTTGAACTTTTCATTGAGCCTATTAATTTTACATTCTACATACATTAAATACTTTAAATATTTGATAAAGATGATTATAGTTCACAGATTGAAATTATAAAAAGTGTCAAATCTCAAATGATTTATGTGAAACAAAATCTTTTATTTTTCATATTAAAATATTGATTATCAAATTCCAAATTTGTTTACGCCTTCATCAATTTTTTTCTTGCCCATAATCGAGTCATACTCAAAATCACGTACTTTTATATTGATTAATATTTATATGATGAACTTCAGTTACTGTTATTTATCTTCTTTGACATACAATTTATGGTATCAGTTAGGTAGCATCACTCTATTCTTTTCTTTTTTTCGAACAATGAATATCCAAAAGTGACAAGAGAACCGAATAAATCATAAAAGTTAGGACTCATTACTCTATCAATTATCATTTTATAGTTTTCGTATCAATATTTTCTTCGATTAATAGAAAAACAAATGACAGATAATAGTAAAATTAAGCATTTAGACTGTTTGAAATTATCCAACATAAGATAGAAAACATTTAATATAATTTTTTGCCAAAACTAACCTTATTTTTGGTCTTCGAAAGAAAAAAACATACAAATCTTAGTTCTCACAAGGGTACCTAATGAAATATTTCACTATAAAAATAGTCATTGATAAGTTTTAATTAAATCTCTCAGTACTCGTATTTGATGTTAGAAGAAATTTCTAAGATGAATCTATTTATATAATATTCTTTTCTTTAAATTGATGCATCATTGTCGATGAATGAGTCTCTACTACACACACATTAATCATATGTTGTCATATAAGTACGTGACAATCTTAAATTTTTATCTGTCAGACAAGATATTTCTATGATTCTTTGATAGTAATATGAAGAAAAGACATGTAACATTGATTATCAATAACAAATAGAAATAGTTTGCTTAACAAATGCATTAAATGATTTGATATTTGATAATATGCTCAAGAAAATATCAATGTCATTTTTCTATGTTTATATTTAAAATATGCTTCATATAAATTATATTGATTTTAGAAAAAGAAATGATCAACTCAAGGAAAAAAACAATCATAGTCAATAAGTAAAACAAAAAAAAAAAGCAACAAAAAGACGAAATGAGTTCACTAATGAATTAGTTACATTAATAAGACAGATAACAATACATTGATAATTTTACAATTCAGAATCAAATTTCATTTTTATAACTATAAAATGATCATTCTATATTATTTCAATTATGAAAGAAAGTATAGAATAGAATGTTTTGTTTATTTAATAATTAACTAGCTTTATATTTCATATCTTTTCTAAGAAATGAAAAGTTCATTTAGTCCAAAAAAATGGTAATACTAAAAGAATTATCATTCACGCTAGAATTCTGTCTCTACAAAGAAATAATTAAATCAACAGTGTGTATATTATCTTTCCAGATTCTCTTTTCACATAAGACAATTTGTTTTTATTAAGGTTTCCAAGGAGTTTTTTTGTCATTATCTCTTCTAAAGAAATAAATAAGATGAAATACTTGAATTTTTTCTATTTAAATAAATAAAAAAGTAATATAACTCTAAAAACATTCACTGAAATCTATTGTCTAAAAAAAAAAAAGGATTTTTTTTCAAGTATTTTTCTATATCTGAATTTTTCAATACGATGATGAGTTTTGTGCAGAAAAATATGAAACATGTTGTTTTAAAAATGAATTCTTATAATTTTGTCTCTATATAGTTCATCAACAATACAATAATTGATAGAGAAAAAAAGATATGACAAATACTATTTTTCCTTAGGTTTTATATTAATATTACAAATGTCTTTCATTTGTTATTAAAAATAATCTTCTATTCTCTTGTCAAGAGTATCAAATGATAAGAAAAATCTTAGTTGCATTAAATTAATGAACCATATCAACATGTATAATCTGTAACTATATAAATTTCAACACAATCATATAAGCAATTAATTCATATAACAATCTACACTACTAAAAAAAAAAATTAATATTTCTTCATTATAAGTATTTGATAAGGACAAGAGTTTTCTTTTTTTTTATTATATTATTAATAGGTTTATTTTTACTTTCAATAATCTTCCTATGTGACATCTTAACTTATTTAAATATTACTTGAAGAAAAGATATTATCATAAATAAGTTTTTTCTAAATATAGTAAATTATCATTCATCTTTAAAGTTATTCTTTCATCGATCTAATAAAAACTCAACAATCTTTATCAATTATTAATTGTCTAAAATATAAATAATACTCGTTTCGATATGTAATCTGACAGAAAACCATTAACATAGTTATCTTTCAATAAAAAAAAAGTTCTATTTCGAAGTATATTTTTAACTTTGTGGTTGTTTTGATAGTTTCTCATTAAATATGTTTCAGAAAATGGATTCTTTTTCTTTTTCTTTTTGTCTTCTTTTTTCAATTAAGTAATAATAAAAAAGTTGATGTAGTTCTCGCAACAAAACTTTTTAAAAACACTACAGAATATCTCGAAAAATAATTTACTTTTTTCGATATATGCATGAGTGCATCTCTTACTTATTGCATGTTTTCAAGTTTGCCGTTATTGAAAAGATAATTATTTCTTATAATGATTCACTAGTCAAGATAGAACTTTTTTTTTCTTTTGCTTATAAAATAATCTAATAATATTATGATGAAACAACATTTATAAGATAAAAAAAAAAACAAAATAAATATTGAAAATTTTTTTGTTTTCTTCTAGTAAAAAAAAAACAGAAGATTAACAATTTGTTTTGTTTTAGATTAGATTTATATTTATATCGTTGAAAGATATTATTTCATATTGATTATTAAATCTTCTTGTCAATCATATTATCGTTATATTTTAGAGAAAGAGATTTATTCAAATGGTTTTCTTTCTATATGTTTTGTTTTATCATGCATTTTTATTCTTTATGAATAAAATAATAATATACAAAATTAAATTGATTCATCAGAAACCAAACATATAATTTGATTGTTTGTAGACGAATGACTATATTAATGTCATTATTCATTCATCATTTTTCAAATCAATGTTTTCTAAAAAACAAAAAAAGCTTTATTTATATTATAACAAATGAGACTATACATGTCTATTATTGAAAATCTGTCAGATTAAAATTCTATTATCTTGGAAATAAAAAAAAAAGCTATTTGTCTTTTGAAAGATGAACTCTATTGGATATAGACTAGTCATTTTCAATTGCATTGTCCCATCTCATTTGATTGTTTATTTTTGTTTTTGT